ATCTTTAAGCTCCAGATCGACAGAAACATAGAAGTGTATGTAGATGACATGATAGTCACCAGCGTGCGAGCTGAGGATCACATTGGCGACCGGGATGAAACTTTTCAAAACTTGCGCCGAGCACAAATGAAGCTGAATCCCTTGAAGTGCACATTTGCTGTAGAGTCGGGAAAATTCCTGGGATACGTGGTATCCAAGAAAGGAATTGAAGTAAATCCAGAGAAGGTTGAGGCCGTTCAGCAGATGGAGCCGCCAAGGACTGTCAAAGACATGCAGCGTTTGACGGGCCGTGTTGCTGCGCTACACAGGTTTATAGCCAGGTCGGCAGAAAGATGCCTCTCGTTCTTCAAGGCCCTGCGAGAGCCCAAGAACTTTCAATGGACCGATATGTGTCAGCGGGCCTTTGACGAGCTCAAACGGTACCTGGCGTCAGCACCCCTGCTGTCCAAGCCTGTGGAAGGGGAGAGTTTGTATCTGTATTTAGGGGTTACAGCAGAGGCGATTAGCTCGGTCTTACTCAGGGAAGAGAATAAGAATCAGAAGCCTATCTGTTATGTGAGCAAGGTCCTACACGGCCCCGAACAGAATTATCCATTAGCGGAGAAGGCTGCTTTTGCCTTGGTGTACACAGCTCGTAAGCTGAGAGCCTACTTCCAATCACATCAGATCGTTGTCTATACCGATTTGCCGTTGAGGAAGATACTGCAAAAACCGGAACTCTCTGGTCGGCTTATTGGATGGAGCATCGAGCTGAGTGAATACGATCTCAAATTTCAGCCGCGCACAACCATAAAAGGCCAACCCATTGCAGACTTTCTGGTAGAGTGCATCTCGGCGACGGAGGGAGAAAAGGCACCTGATTACCCAGTTTGGGTTCTGTATGTTGATGGAGCTGCTAACATTGAAGGGTCAGGTGCTGGAGCTGTGTTGATAGGCCCAGATGGTTTTAAATCTGAGCATGCATTGCGGTTTAAGTTCCAAACCACTAACAATGCTGCCGAGTATGAAGCCCTCATTTATGGTTTGAAGCTGGCGTCCGAGCTGAAGGTGTAGAGTATACAAGTTTTCAGTGATTCTCAGCTCGTGGTGGGCCAGGTAAATGGCAGCTGTGAAGTTAGGGATCCCTAGCTTGACCGTTATACCTCTGTGGTCAACAAATTGAAGTCAAGATTTGCTTCATTTCAGATTGACAAAATACCAAGAGCTGACAACTACCGAGCTGACGAGCTGTCGAAGTTGGCCTCCTCGCAGGACATTAACCCTCAGAGATCAACAATTGTCGAGGAACTCGACGCACCGAGCTACACTGATTTCACAGTCGACTGTCAATTGTTAAGTACAGATCCCTCTACACCGAGCTGGACCACCCCGCTCATAAGTTATCTACAAAGTGGCGAGCTACCTGAAGAACAGTCCGTGGCAAAAGTGATTAAACGCAGGGCGGTACATTTCACTATGTTAGATAACCAGCTCTACAAGCGAGCAGCGTCAATGCCCCTATTACACTGCCTTACTCCTTATGAAGCTGAATACGCCGTGAGAGAAATTCACGAGGGAGTATGTGGCACGCACATTGGTGGCAAAACTTTAGCTCGGAAACTCCTGAGGCATGGTTACTACTGGCCCACTATGGTCGAGGACGCGCAGAACTATGTCAAAAAATGCCCGACCTGCCAGTTCAATGCTGATGATATACACATGCCAGGTATTTGAGCCTGTTCTAAAGATCATGCAAACTTCCTGCTTGTCTCTAAGCTGAGCATAAGTATCTTCCTTGAAACAGGCGAAATGCTATCATCTCTCACGTCTCCTTGGCCCTTTGCTCAATGGGGCGTCGACCTGCTCGGCCATTTCATCAAAGGCAAAGGAGGCTGCGCTTTCCTGGTCGTTGCAGTGGATTACTTCACTAAGTGGATAGAAGCTAAACCACTACCCACGACAACAGAAAGGAAAATAGAAGAATTCTTGTTCAATTCCATATTGTGCAGGTTCGGCATACCCAAGCGGATTATCGCCGACAATGGGCCACAGTTCCGAGCAGCGGCGTTGAGATCGTTTTGTAACGATTATGGTGTTGAGCTCGCTTTGACATCCGTGTATACTCCACAGTCTAACGGACAAGCTGAGTCCGCCAATAAAATCGTCTTGCGAGGCCTCAAGACACGTGTTGAAGCTGCACATTCTAATTGGGTTGACGAACTCAACAAAGTGCTCTGGTCTTGTCGTACTACACCCAGCACGGCCACGGGCGAAACCCCTTTCAGCCTGGCCTATGGAGCTGAGGCCGTCATCCCAGTAGAGGTTGGATTACCATCTGAACGAGCAGGCTGGCATGACGATCTCAACAATGAACAACTGTTGAGAGAAAACCTAGACTTCGTGGAAGAAGTCAAGGAGATGTCTAGAATAGGAAACATGGCGCATCAAAGTCGTGTTGCAAAGTTTTACAATAAAAGGGTTCGAGCTCGCCAGTTTCAAGTCAGCGATCTGGTTCTACGCAAAGCTAGATTGACGAATACTTACTCGCACATGGGCAAGCTCGCTCCTAATTGGGAAGGCCCCTATGTGGTTGTTCAAATTAAACGACCTGGGTCTTACGTGTTAGCAGATATACAATGAGATGCCTTCAGGTCGTTCAGCGCCTCCTCTGTAGCAGTGAGGTTTCTGTCAGCCTCGGCGACCTGATGCCTAAGGGAACCCAGCTCGTGCTGAGCATGGTCCCTGTCGGCCTCGGCCTTCTTAGCCCACTCCTCAACCCTGGCGGTCTCATCCTTTGCCGCCTGGATTCCGCTCTCTCTTTCAGCTCGAGCTCGCTCCAACTCCTCCCTGAGCTCATTGTTTCTGGTGGCGAGCTCGTCCGCCCTGCTCTTTGCAGCCGCAGCTCGGTTCGCCATTTCAGAGCCTTGCAGACGATTCACATCGTCCACAAGGCTGGCCTTCTCAGCAGCCAACTGTTTGCATTTGGAATCGAGCTCGTTGTTCTGTGTACGAGCCTCTTGCTCACTCTCGTACAGAGCTACAGCGTAGCTGAATGCCTGCCAAACAGCGACAATTGTAAGTACCTAACAAGGAAAAGTAAGACGCTTAAGTAAGTACAAGAAAATACTTACATCCATTAATTTAATCATGGCGACCTAGCCGCCATGCTGCTGCACAAAAGCCTTAGCCCACTTGCTATCCATGGGGGGCACAAAGCTGTGCATGCCTTGCACCATGGCGGGCTGGCACTCCGCCCTTATATAGCTGAAGCCCTCAGGATAAGCAATCCTGGGGCCTGACATGGAGGCTGTTGAAGAAGCAGGCTCTGCTGCTGCTCGCGAGGTGGGTGAGCGCGCGACCACAGGACGAGTCGCCTCTGCGGGCTGAGTCCCCCCGCTCGTTCTGCGTCGTGTGAGGGGGACCTCATCTTCGCTCTCCGTTTCCTCGCGTGCACGCCGGCGTTCGCTCGGAGCTGCAGCCTCAGCTCGGTGCTCTGCTCGTGGCCTTGAAGCCGAGCTAGATCCCCGGTGTGACGAGCCGCGTGATGGAGGCGCTTGGGGTGGCCGCTCGTCAAACCGTGTTTGTCGGGGTTACGCGCTGCTCGCCCCACGGCCTCGGGAGCTCTGGGCACGTTGACACTGACGTTCCAGTATGCTGCTCATTTCACCTGCACAAACAAATGCATAAGCCTCAGCTCGGCTAGAATCCATGTTATATGATGAAAATATACCTTCGCTGAACAAGTTTGTCACATCGACAAACCCGAACACGGCGAGATGCTCCGAGGTAACCAGGGCTTCCAAATCTATCAGACCCTCCCTCTTCGCATACTCAAGCAGCTGGTTCTTCAGATCTACATCCCGGGGCAACAGCTGAGGGTAGTTGATATGAGCGTTTGGCGTGCGCCATTCTGACAGCCGGGCAGCGAGGTCGTTGTTTATCCTCTCTGTTTGCGTGTCGCAAACAAAAATGAACTGCCTCTTCCACCTCGCCACTTTGTTCCTCACGTTCTTAAACAGCTGGCTCTTGTCTCTCCCGGAGAGGTAGTACCATTTCGCGCCTCGGGAGTTGGGACACAGCCGGCATTGAAACAGCGACCTGAAAACGATCACCTTGGCCGGTACCTCCAACCTCGCACACAACAGCATAAAGCCTATTATAAACCTTATGCTGTTGGGCGTTAGCTGCGTCAGAGCGAGCTCGTAGTCCGCCAGCAAGTCGAATACCAAGCCGGGCAGGGGGAATCGCAGGCCGGCCTCAAAGTGATCCACGTACACGGGTATCCAACCCGTCTGTGATACCGTGCACGCCCTTTCGCTCTTGGCTCCAGTCCGGAGCAAGATTGTTCTTGGGATGTGGTGCGCCCTCACCATCTCCTCCAATCTCCTATATCCACTTATTGAGGGCGCACAATTTGCTACTTCATGATGTAGGGCGGCCCGAAACCTAAATCCAGCGGCAGGTCCTTGGGCGCCTTCCGCAGATTGCTCAACCTGCCCGTGATGGTTCTACTTTCCCATTCTCCCATTACAGGCCGATCTGAGACATGACTCACTACATCCCCTGTCCCCTCCTCGCGACCTGGTGTCCCCTCGGAGGACGAGCTGCTCGACGGTACACTAGGGTGGTCGCCACCGTTGTCGCTGGCGCTGGAACTGGTGCTACTCTCAGACGCCATTATTTCCGGCACATCCTGCAACTCCGGCGGCACTATCATCGTGATAGGCTCCACTGACAAAACCCCTTCCTCTTCTCCCTCTCTGCCCTGGTTACCTCGTTGCTCTGTAAGCTCTCTCAATGAAACCATTTTACCTGAAAATGATGTGAAGATTGATCCGACGTACTGTTCTTCAAGATGGAGCGTTTCGCTTCAGAGAATTTTAGAAGGTTTCAAGCAAACGCAGAAGTGAAAATGGAAAAGCAAACGGTTACACAAAAGGAAATATGGCAGTCTTAATGGCCGTATGCGTGTTTCTGACGCGCCAATTCGCGTCTACACGTGGCACACGCTTAACGCCCCTCCTGCATTGCGTGCGCCGGCTTTAGCTGTCACGTCCCTCAAATGTTGAGCCAGCATTTATGACGGGGAAGACAGAAGGATATGGGGAGATCAACCGTATCTCCTCGGAGATTTGATAGATCTTCAAAATCCATAAGTTTCAGATCGTAACGGCTGATACATAGCCTACCCCGTCACATCAGCTCGCCATGGCGAGCACACTTACCAGGTCGTTACAAAGATGACATTTTGCCGGATCGGCTCAACCGTGACAATTCATTTACTAAAATACCCCGAGATTCAGCTCGTCACATATCGTGACGACAACCACATTTGTCAGATCGTTACACAGATTGCAGCTCACACCAGGCCACAGACCTGAGGTCGCCCTATTCGACAGCACTACTCGTGCGAGCTGATAAAATGGTGGTCCAGAGCCTCAAGTCGCACTGCATGTGAGGTCGCGTCACCTCACCTTGTAATCATCGCTGACTGAGCGTCATCTGGTCGCACTTCGGTAGTAATCAAGGGTCAGATCGCCACATGGACGAGCTGAAATGGCGTTACATACATGGCTGGTCCATGAGCGAGCTCGTCTGTTGCAAATCACTTCAGCTCGCCGTCATAATGTGGCTATGAATACCAGCTCGCCTACACGCTTTCTGTCTCGCGAGCTCGCCTCTTTTCGTTCTACCTTTCAGCTTGGCCATCGTCGAGGTCAGCCGCAAGCGGTTAAAGACGTCCGTCACACTCGCCAGCTAGGCCCAACAACGTTGACCCACGGCCACATCCGTCCCAGTTCGTCAAAACACC